CCCCTATATATATATATATATATATATATATGTGTGTGTGTGTGTGTGTGTGTGTGTGTGTGTGTGTGTGTGTGTGTGACTGAAGAAATATAGGTTTAAATTGTGATAGATTTATGGGATAAAGTCCTCAGTATCAGAGATAGGGCGTATGTAAATATAAATATAAAAATATAAACGTGAACATTAAAGTCAACACTCAGAGGTGACAGACTGTTTCATGCTGGACGCAATCGTCAGACTGCGAATGTCGGATTTTTTCTCGATTATTTATATATATGGGTCAGTGGTGCATTTTGGGTAACCCATTCTGGCGGTTATTTTGGCGGGAGTAGCTTGTTTATTTATTTGGGTTAATTTATTTTACTTTTTTTCATTATCATTTTTCTATTTTATATATATTTTTTTATTCTTTTCAGTTTTTGATGTTTTATTAACGTTGTAAAAATATTGTGGGTATTTGTTTGGGTCGCTTATTTAATTAGTTTTGGTCTGGGAAAATAAAGCTATTTATCCGTCTAATATTTTGAATTGATTGCAGTAGCCTATTATGCTATTTTGGCGGAGGACAGTTTTTGATTTGTTTATTATTTTATTTATTTGGATTGATTACTTTTACTCGTTTTTTTTAATTTATGTTTATTTTTATGATTAGTTCTAACGGTTATTTTCGCGGGAGCGATTTGTTAATTTGTCCGATTATTTATTTATTTGTATTATTTTTTAGTCATTTATTTTTTATTTATTTGCTTATTTTTTTATATTGTATATTTTTGTTTACTCTATTCTGTTTTCGATTTTTGAGTGACGTAGTAATTTTTTATCGTTATATAGTAGTTATAGCTATTTTCTTGTCCAATTTTTGGATTGATTGTTGTGGTCTATTCTAACAGTTATTGTTTTATTAATTTGTTTACTGTTTACTTTATTTATTTGGATTGATTATTTATGCTTATATTTTGATGTATTTATTTTCTACTTTGACTTGTTCTATTTGGTTTATTCTAAAGGGAGTGGTTTGTTAATTTGTTTATTATTTGCTAGGGTTAATTTATTTTACTTGTTTTTTTTATATTATTGTGTTTATTTTTTATTTCTTCTTTTCAGTTTTCGATTTTTAAGCAACGTAGTAAAAATTTGTTTTCATGTCTGCATCATGGGATGAGCTCAGATCGTTTATTTAGTATTTTATTTTGGTTCTGGGAAGGTAATAATAGCTATTTTTCTTCCAAGTTTGCAGGTTCTGGATTGATTGTCGTAGGCTGATGATCTTTTCTTTATTTTCCATATGTTTGGTGTGATTTGCGTTTTCGTTTTAATTTATCAGATATACTACGAAAGCATTTTACTGTTCGCGTATTTACTTATTGTGAAAGATGTTTTGTGTGCATAGTTTCTTTGTTTCCGGAGCCTTCCGTTACTCCTATATATGTTTTTCTTCATTGTCTGGTGATTTTACGATGGCTTGGTATATTACGTTGTTTTGTAAGCAATTACCGTTTAAGGGACATTCATTCTTTATTTTTGCATAAAGTTTTTGCAGGTCCTATCTCTGTAACTGTGTCAAGGTCATGTTCATACCAGTTTCTTGTAGTTTCCTTCCCGTAAAAGTTGAATGATTTCCAGTGCAGGCATTGGCTTAATCTCTCATGCCGAGTTTTGTATTCAGTGCTAACATCGTGCAACGTGCTAAAAAATGACCATTTTTTTTTAAAAATATTTATTTATTTATTATTTTTATTATTTTCTTTGATTTCTGGGCCCCAACCAAAGACCTAATGTTAGAAAAGGCTAGATGATAATTTCAGCTGATTATTTAAAAAAAAAAAAAAAAACTAAGATCATGCACATTTTACGTAAGGTGTCGGCTTTACTTATTAGTACAATTTTTTTGTATTTCTTTAAGGCATGGGTTACAAAGGAATCCTTCCAATGAATTTATCGGAGCCTTTTTCCAATCAATCCGAGAGCTCCAACTACAACTGCAGGGATTGTCATATCTGTAAGAAGCTTTGTGTAGTCTCTGATGACGATGTCCTGGCGATTAGCTTTGATTGATCTGTCACTATGTTTTTATTATTATTATTATTATTATTATTATTATTATTATTGATTGGGTAATGTTCCACGTCGGCAGTTTTAAATAGTCCATCTTTGGCGAGGAACAGAATTCAGTTGTATTATTATTATTATTATTATTATTTCCTTTGATTTCTGTTGTATACACATTTCCTTCCGGATCCCAACTAGAGACCTAAGGTCAGAAATAGGTTCCTGATATTTTCCGCTGGTCACTTTTTTTTGTATAAAAAGGAAACCTAAGATCACTCCCATTTTACACAGATAAAGTTCTTCGTAATGTGTGAGCTGTACCTGTGAGTACAATTTTTTGTATTTTTTAAGGCATGGGCTACCGGAACCTTTTTCAATCAATCCGAGTGCTCTAACTACAACTGGAATTATGGATGTCCTCATATGCCACATTTTTAGATTTCCATTTTCAAGATCCTTGTATTTTTATAATTTTTTTTAAAGATCTTCTAAGCTACATTACATTCTGCAGGGATTGTCATGTCTGTAAGAAAGTTTATGTAGTTTCTGATCACGATGTCCTGTCGATTAGCTTTCATTGTTCTGTCTCTGTGTTTTATTATTATTATTATTATTTTCTTTAATTTCTGGCGTTTACATTTCTTTCCGGGTCCCGCCTAGGGACCTAATGTTAGAAATGGCATCATGACACTTTCCACTGACAAATTATATATATATATATATATATATATATATATATATATATATATATATATATATATATTATATACAGATAAAGCCCTTCGTAAACTGTACTTGTCAGAACAATTTTTTGTATCTCCTTGAGGCATGGACTTCCAGGAATCCCTTCAATTAGTCTATTGCAATCTTTTCCGAAAAATCCGAGGGCTCCAACTACAACAGGGATCGTTGATGTTCCCATATGCCACATTTTTGAGATATCTATTTCAAGGTCCTTCTATTTTGACAACTTTTTGAATATCTTCAAAGATACATTACAGTCAGCTGAGACTGCCATATCAATAAGGAGGCAATTTTTTTGTTCGTGGTCTTTAATAACAATGTCTGGGCGGTTGGCTATGATTGTTCTGTCAGCGTGTATTGTGTAGTCCCATAGAATTGTAACAGGTCCTATCTCCGTAACTGGTTCTGGGTGGTGTTCATACCAGTTTCTTTCAGTTTCCTTTGCGTAGAAGTTACAGATTTTCCAGTGCAGATATTGGCCCACTCTGTCATATTATTTTCTTTGAGTTCTGTTGTATACACATTTCCTTCCGGGTCCAAATCAGAAATAACTTCTTGACATTTTCCGCTGGTCATTTTTTTGGTATAAAAAGGAAACCTAAATTCACACACATTTTACATAGATAAAGTTCTTCGTAATTTGTCAGCTGTACTTGTGAGAAAATTATTTTATATTTCTTCAAGGGATGGACTACCAGAAATCCCTTTTTCTGTGTCTATCGGAATCTTTTTCCTATCAATACGAAGGCTCCGACTACAACTGGTATTACTGATATCCACATGATTGCCACTTCAGCCTCTTTGTATTTTGATAGTTTTTTTTTTTTTTTTTGAAGATCTTCAAAGATACATTAGAATCTGCAGGAACTGCGGTCATGTCAATAAGAAAGCACATTCTATTTTTGTGGTCTTTGATCACGATATCTGGCCGATTAGATTTGATTGTTCTGTGTCTATTGTAAAATCCCATAAATGTCTTATCTATCTAACCGGGTCTGGGTGATGTTTATTCAAGTTTCTTACAGTTTTCTTTCCGTAAAAGTGGCATATTTTCCAATGCAGATATTGGCCCATTCTATCGTGCCAAGTTTTATATACAATGGACGCTAACACCGTGCAACCTGATAGAAGACAATCAATTGTTTCTGGATATTTTTCACAGAATCTACATTTCGGGTTGACACATTTCAGTATGTGTGTTTCGTAATTTCTAATTCGCAAGCATTGGTCCTGTGCAGTCAGAATAAAACTTTCAGCCTGTGCTTTTAACCCTGAATTATATTTCTTTAAGGCAATGGCTACCAGGAATCTCTTAAATGAATCTGTTGGAACCTTCTCCAATCAATCTGAAGGCTCCACACGTGCTACATTTTTGAGATTTCCATTTCAAGATCTTTGTATTTTGATAGTTTTTTGAATATCTTACAGGCTACATTACAATCTGCAGGGACTGCCGCCATGTCGATAAGAAAGCACATTCTGTTTTTGCCGTCTTTGATCACAATGTCTGTCCGATTAGATTTCATTGTTCTGCCTGTATATATTGTAAAGTCCCATAAAATTGCTACAGATCCTATCTCCGCAACTGAGTCTGAGTGTTGTTCATCATCATCATCATCATCATCAACTTTATTATAGTGCTCCTATTACAAAGTCATTGACCATATTACAAGGAGGAGGTTCTTCTCAATACATGATAGATGCTCAGGGGCACAACTGTTTCTATCTCAGATTGGCATGAACTATCAGTAAATAAAAAAAATGCACCTAGAAGGGAAAATAATGATATAATCCAGATGTTAGCATTCAACACCACCTCAAACAAAAGGTGAGGAAGGAAACTCCCATCACTAATTGAAATTTCAATTGAGATTAACGCCGTTTAATCAAACAATACCGAATGTTTCCCGTACTGAAAAGGATACTCTCCACACTTTCATTGCAGACATTAATATTGTAATATTGTGTAATATTTATTATTATTGTAACATTTAGTAGGAATTATGATCAAATACCGACAGTCAATAAGAAGAAAAATGGGATTTGCATAAAATGTTGGAACGCGTTATGTAACGTGAATGAATAAAGTAGCAGGAACTTATGTTTGCGGAAAGCTTTAAAAACGGCCAATAAAACCATTGAAATCAAAAATTAAGAAAATGAGGAGAAAATAAAATACATAATTCAGACTATTGTCCTCATCTTTGTCATCTGATGGGTTTGGTCATGATTAAGGGCTTCTGCAGAATGCTCCTTGGATGAGTGATAAATATAAACAGATAGGTAAGAATAAGGTGAGAAAGAAAGAATAAACGGATTACGATAGATAGATAGATAGATAGATAGATAGATAGATAGATAGATAGATAGATATGAATAAATTGAGATAGATAGATAGATAGATAGATAGATAGATAGATAGATATGAATAAATTGAGATAGATAGATAGATAGATAGATAGATATGAACTAAGATAGATAGATAGATAGATAGATAGATAGATAGATAGATAGATAGATATGAATGAATTGATATAGATAGATAGATAGATAGATAGATATGAATAAATTGATATAGATAGATAGATAGATATGAATAAACTGAGATAGATAGATAGATAGATAGATATGAATAAATTGAGATAGATAGATAGATATGAACTAAGATAGATAGATAGATAGATATGAATGAATTGATATAGATAGATAGATAGATAGATATGAATAAATTGAGATAGATAGATAGATAGATATGAATAAACTGAAATAGATAGATAGATAGATAGATAGACAGATAGATAGATAGATAGATATGAATAAATTGAGCTAGATAGATAGATATATAGATAGATAGATAGAAAAGAAAGCAAACCGAGATAGATATAAAGGAGGGAGAAATGAAGAAAGGAAGGACTGAGATAGATAGATAGATAGATAGATAGATAGATAGATAGATAGATAGATAGATAGATAGATAGATAGATACGAACAGACTGAGATAGATACATAGATGGATAGATATGAACAGAATTAAAATGCATCTATCTATCTATCTATCTATCTATCTATCTATCTATATATATATATATATATATATATATATATATATATATATATATATAGAGAGAGAGAGAGAGAGAGAGATTAATAGTATTAACAAACTGTGATATATAGATCGATAGATACGTGCATACGTACATACATATTTAGATAGATACATGCATACAGACTTACATGCATAAATACATATATACATAATTACAGAATGGGATAAATAGATAAATAGCTAGATAGATGTGAGCAGAATAAGATAGATATATTGATAGTATGAACAGACTTATAGATAGATAGATAGATAGATAGATAGATAGATAGATAGATAGATAAGGAACAGAATGAGATAGATAGATAGATTGATAGATAGATAGATAGATAGATAGATAAGGAACAGAATGAGATAGATAGATAGATAGATAGATAGATAGATAGATAGATAGATAGATAGATAGATAGATACGTGCATACATATATGCATACCTATATAGATAGCTAAATCGATAGATACATATATACATACATAAATATGAACAAAATGGGATAAACTGAAGGATATATATATATATATATGTGAACACAATGATATAGATCAATGTCGTTATTATCATTATGTTGTGTTAATCGAAAGGTTTCTCTTCCCTCCGCTCCTTTTTTTTCTCTCCCTCATCCGAATTGTATAGCCACCTTAGATTCTCTCCGTGTCTTGATTACCTATGCAAGAAATCACCTCGGGGTTGGGCGGTATCAGGAGCTGGGGACTAATGCAACGTGAAGCCAGCAACAGAAGGTAAAAATCAAAGGAGAAGAGAAACACACACACACAAGCATAACTAACTAAATAAAATCGAATACGTGCTTCAATCAACTTGATATTTTACGGTGGCTGGGCTTCGAGTGAAATATCGAATCATTCCAGATTTCGAATGGACGCATAATTGGAAGATCTTCTGAGTGGGTGTTGCTTTTCTTTAAAACTTTCCATTCGAAGTTGAATGGGGGTTTTGTTAGGAGGACGAAACTTTTAACGAGATCTGGGAGTGTCGGGAACACATCGGTTGGCGGGTGGGAGAGAAGCGAACGAACTTTTAACTTTATTTTTTGCGTTTTTATTTTATTTTATTTTATTTTAAATCAACAATCAAGATTCATTCTAACTCAGACGAGTTGAATATATATATATTTTTTTTAATTCCTGACTTTCTAGAAACTAGCAAAATCATTGTCTCAAGTTCTTTCACAGATAATGTTTGTCTGGTACAAGGCTAGTCTGATTGATAGACTGTGATTGTCAGTGAACATTAAATTCACGACAGACTTGCACTGCTGTAATTCACATCAAGTATAAAGCCACGATATGATATCTATCTATCTATCTATCTATCTATCTATCTATCTATCTATCTATCTATCTATCCCTATCCTCCCTCTCTCTCTCTCTCAATATATATATATATATATATATATATATATATATATATATATATATCATTAAATACGATTAACATGAAACTTGTATACAGATGGGATTGCAGCCCAAATACACAATTTTATAAATATATATATATATATATATATATATATATATATATATATATGTGTGTGTGTGTGTGTGTGTGTGTGTGTGTGTACTATCGATTTATCACAATTTGCTAATATCTACCTATCTATCTCTTTATATATATATATATATATATATATATATATATATATATATATATATACACACACCTCTGTATGGTCATATCTATCTACTTTCAACGCGTTATATATATATATATATATATATATATATATATATATATATATATATATATATATATGTGTGTGTGTGTGTATCAGTATGTTCATGTCTATCTATATATCTATCGATACCAGTATGTTTGGATCTATCTATCTATCTATCTATCTATCTATCTATCTATCTATCTATCTATCTATCTATCCTCCTCCCTCTCTCTCTCAATATATATATATATATATATATATATATATATATATATATATATATATATATTCATTAAATACGATTAACATGAAACTTGTATACAGATGGGATTGCAGCCCAAATACACAATTTTATAAATATATATATATATATATATATATATATATATATATATATATATATATATATGTGTGTGTGTGTGTGTGTGTGTGTGTGTGTGTGTGTGTAACTATCGATTTATCACAATTTGCTAATATCTACCTATCTATCTTTTATATATATATATATATATATATATATATATATATATATATATACACACTCTGTATGGTCATATCTATCTACTTTCAACGCGTTCATATATATATATATATATATATATATATATATATATATGTGTGTGTGTGTGTGTATGTTCATGTTCATCTATATATCTATCGATACCAGTTTGGATCTTTCTATCTATCTATCTATCTATCTATCTATCTATCTATCTATCTATCTATCTATATATATATATATATATATATATATATATATATATATATATATATATATATCAATGCGTTCATATATATATCTGTCTATCTAGCTAGCTAGCTACTTTCAACGCGTTCATATCTACCTATATATCTATCTATCTACGTGTTCATATCTATCTATATATCTATCTCACTATGTTCGTATCTACCTCTCTATGCCGTTCTGTTCATATCTATCTAAATCTGCCTCTCTCTATATATCTTACTATCTATCTATTTATCTATGTATCAAATTTATACTCATCTATCTGTTGTATATCAATTTCATATGAGCAAAAGTTTTCAAATATTTTTTAACATCAGAAAAGAACATGTGTTTTCTCCATCAATATTTTTTTTGTGTCAAAGCGGGCAAAATCCGAAATTTCAACCGACTCGTGGTGGTCTTGCTATGTATAATACAATCAAAGAAATAGATTTAGGAATGGGTATACTTCGTGAGCCTTACATCCAGCATTCTATAGAAAAGGCAGAAAACCTAAAAAAATCGTCTTAACAAAATAATTCCTGAGATTATGAATATGCCTGATCAACATTGATATCAATTAGGGTGGCTTAGCCTATTCAAACTTGAATCTGAAACCCTTACACTTCATATATGGCAGGTACATCGAATCGTAAATTCAAATGTTTATTTAGGTTTCAAGAAATATTTAACTAAAAGCCAGGATAAATCTTCCAGCAGACGAAAAAAAAATTTAAATTTCAACCATTGCTCTATCGTCCGTTTGAACATACGAACATTTTTTTTTTCATAATGGATAAAGAATGATTGGAAAATTCAGACTCTTTTACCAGTCGATGTTAAGGTATTAGATCTCGTCAAAGAGGTGATTAGAATATATTCTAATTACATTTGGAACTGTGAACGATGTCTTAGATGTTTTTTTTTCTAATTCGACGTTCATTCCTGTTTCCTCCGTGTTTTCATATGCTCTGTGTTATATCTTAACGCCCGTTCGTTTGCCCAGTTTTACCTTTAATGTCTGCCGGTATATTAATAATAAATTCGTTGAAAAACTATCAACGGCGATGTTTAAAAACAAAGAAAACAAAGTGTTTGATGAAAAGGCTAGGCAAAAAAAAAAAGAATGACACTATAGATATTTTAATAAAATCCATTATACATCCATCAGAGGCTCTTCATTAAAAATTCAATTGTTACCCAATTATATGAACATACGATCACGGCTGGTCTTAGACAGTGGAACAGTTACCCTCTTTTTGCAGCAGTCGTTAAACGTCTTTCAAAAGAAGATCAAAATACATTTTGTTTATATTGGAAGTTGGTATCAAACTTATATTCATCTATCTGTATATCAATTTTATATGAGCTAAAGTTTTCAAATATTTTGATTTATTTTAACTTCAGAAAAGAATATGTGTTTTCTACATCAACATTTTTTTTTGTGTCAAAGCGGGCAAAATCCGAAATTTCAACCGACTCGTGGTGGTCTTGCTATGTATAATACAATCAAAGAAATAGATTTTGAAATGTGTGTACTTCGTGAGCCTTATATCCAGCATTCTATAGAACAGGTAGAAAAACTAGAAAAATCGCTTTAACAAAACAATTCTTGAGATTATGAATACGCCTGACCCAACATTGCTATCAATTAAGGTGGCTTGGCCATTTCAAACTTGAATCTGAACCCCTTACACTTCATATATGGCAGGTACCTCGAATCGTAAATTCAAATGTTTATTTAGGTTTCGAGAAATATTTAACTAAAAGCCAGGATAAATTTTCCAGCAGACGAAAAAAAGAATTAAAATTCAAACGCTGCTCTATCGTACGTTTGAACATACAAACATTTTTTTTTCATAATGGGAAAAGAATGATTGGAAAATTCAGACTCTTTTACCAGTCGATGTTAAGGTATTAGATCTCGTCAAAGAGGTGATTAGAATATATTCTAATTACATTTGGAACTGTGAACGATGTCTTAGATGATTTTTTTTTTCGAATTCGACGTTCATTCCTGTTTCCTCCGTGTTTTCATATGCTCTGTGTTATATCTTAACGCCCGTTCATTTGCCCAATTTTACCTTTCATGACTGCCAGTATATTAATAATAAATTCGTTGAAAAACTGTCAACGGCGAAGGTTTAAAAATAAAGAAACAAACAGGGTTTAACGAAAAGGCTAGGCAAAAAGAAAAAAAGAAAATATAGATTTTATTTGCTCTCTCTCTCTCCTTCATAATTTTTTTTTCTCTGATCCTTTCACTCTCAGTAACACCTTGATTCTTGTTGGATTTATCATCTTCCCTCTTACGCTGTAACACTCTACCTCGAATGGCTCGTGGGCCTTGTACAAGGCGAAGATCATTGTAAAAGGAACAATATACAAACCGACGTTTAATTTTCTTGCTTTCCGATTGGCCAGAACGGTAGCTGGAGAACACCAATATGAAAGTTTATCATCTGTTATCAGGAACTAGAATGACACATGACACCGTGG